TCTCGAAAGCATCGGATTTTCGTTTTCCAAGTTTTGTATACTGTTGCTGATAGTTTATGGAAAAACATTCGACAAAAGGTTCTGCCCTGTTTGATAGTCGTATAGACAAACATTACACAAATATATACGTTTATTCATATGAAAAATGCGCGATAATAGTGACTAACAGTAACAATAGTTTGAATATCAGGTATGCTAATGTATAAGTCAGAGCCTGAGCATCCGATGAGTCATCGACTTCGCGTTTTCAGCGAATTTATGTTTCACTAAGTCTCAGTCAAATATGATTTTAATAAACGAAAATCCGGCAGTTTAAAGGTAGTTGAGTACGAAATGACCTTACACGCACGTCGAAACAGAAAATAATAATGATTTACAGTATGTGTAATTGAAAAGTTTTCCTGAATAAAAATTACTATACTTCTACTGTTACTGCTGCCAAAAGAAATTTTCATTGACAAACAGTATTGCAATATATGGCCTATACTGCTGTATATAGCGCTAAATAAAAACGGCAACAATTTTGTCATTAATGTCGCAGCATGTTTGGATTTTTTTTTCTCGAATCTTGTCTGACTCTGTTTTCCAATGCCGTTGCTACGGGCTGCGTTAATGACTGTTTCGGAATTTCCGCCGACATGCATGACACGCTTCACGGAAGCATATAACGCTTTTCAAAACAGCAAAATAACGGGCAAAATGAGTCAATTGTATTTCACTCGTAAATAGCAAATTGTATCCTCTTGCTACAGTGATAGGCTACAAGCTCTATGGACGTTCAGTGAATCAGTATCAGTAATACAGGGTGTATAAAAAAAGGAGACCTTTAGAAATCAACCATGTTGTTAAAATTTGAATGCCTTTTCAATTGCACATATGCTGAACCGTAGTGCGTGAAATATTGATGGGGTGCATATATTAGAAAAAGGAGACCTTTAGAAATCGAAATAACGTTTAAACAAAAGATTGTCTGCTCCTGTGAACAATCTGCCATGCATACTGTGCGCCGATCGCATGTTACGCACTCGTGCCGGCTCAAAGTGCTCCAGGATTCAAATTTTAACAATATGCTTGATTTCTAAAGGTCTACTTTTTTTATACACCCTGTAAACTTAAAGATTTTAATTAATATGAGTCAAAAATTGGTGGGACGAAATCCGAAACGAATGCTAGTTATCTACAAGGAAGATATGTGTACTAGTATTTTAAATATCGGTAAAGTGAAACGAATTTTAAGCGGAGAAGCAAAACTCACTGAAGGATCTACAGTTGAAGTCGAGTTCTATGGTTTGGACTATGAAGCACTAGTTCTGAAGCTCCAAGGTAAGTGCTGTTGTTGTAGGAGTGGCTGATCTCGAAACTTTTATTCCTTCCCTTTCCAGTTATTTTGTTATTTTGATTACGCTTTCTCCTGAGGAATACAGGTTATATAATAACTCTCTTTCTCGAGCATACGCGGAAAATTTCGGCATTTTAAAACACAAATTTGTCCCGAAATTTGTAAGCAACCGAAACTTTGGAATATCAAAATGAAAGACGCTTAGATGCGAAAGTTCGTAACGATTTTGGAAACATTAATTTCCGATTACGGGACAAACCAATTGCGGTTTTGTGTCGGAAAAGGTCGACTGCAGTTTTTGTTTCGGTCAAACGATGTCAAACCTTAGGCAACCTAGGTTAAATCTCGGTCAAACCTCACTCAAGCCGCGGTTAACCTAGGTCAAACCGAAATCTAACCTAGGTTTTAGCTAGGTTTGACCTAAATTTGACCTAGTTTTGACCTAGGTTTGACCCAGGGTTGATCTTGGTTTGACCTATGTTTGACCGAGGTTTGCCGAGATTTGACCTAGGTTAACCGCGGTTTTTGTTAGGTTATTTCTGGACAGTGCTGTATATTAAATTTGCCGCGCCAAATGGCGCTTGTTGATTGATTGATTGATTGATAAATTGATTGATTGATTGATTGTTTTTATGAATATACGAGCAAATTTAAAAACAATACAGCGGTATAGACCCTGGTAACCTAGTAACAACTCAAAACAGCTCAGGAATGTAAAATGGCAGCCAGAAGCGAAGTGGAGAAAAATATTTTGCTTGTTTATGAGTAGTTTAGCGACTATTTCTCAGCGCTTGGTGGACTAAATTTCGACGAATCTGCGGCATGAAAATGCTATGTTTCAAGGCGTTCGAGAACATGTTTAAAAGGAAACCGTTGAGCGTTTAAATGCTGCTAAAAAGTAAGTATTGTCCACCTCGAATATGCGTAGAAGTGGGACCGTGCAAAAAGTCGACCATATGTGTCCAAATTTACGTCCTGGAAAACCTCACTTCGGCAAATCATACCGTAGGTGTTTATATACAAAGTGAGAATTGGAAAAATAAATCTCTCGGGAATATATCTATGCTACTCGGACTGTCGCCAGATTTTCGGGAGTTGACACTGACCTTATTTGATAAATGTTTAGACGTGGGACCGTGAGTAGTAATATAGGTACCGATAGGGCCGGATTTTTGAGGGTGCGTAAAGGTGCGTAAGGGTGCGCTAATTAATATTCATACAAATGAGGGTGCGTAAGGATGTTGAGGGTGCGCTAATTAATATTCACCATTTTTGAGGGTGCGTAAGGGTGCGTAAGGGTGCGCTAATTAATATTCATACAAATGCGGGTGCGTAAGGATGTTGAGGGTGCGCTAATTAATACTCGTACAAATGAGGAGGGTGCGTAGTGACGTCACTCATTAACATACGTCATAATTATATGTAATGACGTCACGCGGGCGAGCTTAAACACGATCTGGCAAAACTCGCTGACTACGCATTTTTTAGCGTCCCTCCACGTGTGTGATACAATAGTTAGGGATATACACAAGAGAATATGTTGTTGTCTGGAGTTTTATAAGTACAGCTCTGGCATTTTGCTGTTATTGTCAAGTGATTCCTTTAATTTAGCTCGTAGAGGAGTAAAAAATCTGATACTATATGAAATAGCATTAGTGGTATACATCTAAAACTTATATATTCGGGGTATACAGCCATATGTTTTGTTGTTAAGTAATATATAAATATTATCAAGCGTCAAAACGCTGAGAAATAGCATGCGGTAAGAGTTATTATGTATCTACAATTAAACTAATATTTAAATCCCGGTCTGCCATATGAGGTCTATATACGAGAGAATATGCTGCTGTTTAGAGTTATATAAACACATGGAAATTAGAGGTTATGATATATAATTGTCAAGCGATTTCTATATTTTATTGCTAGTTTTTTAAAGTACTAAAACTCGGATAAGGTTAATAAATTTAAGCTATATTAAAGCACACCGGTTGCTATGTGTTGTTAGGGTGACACTAAGTAAAGGATTAACTTTTATCAGAGATTTGCATTTTTCTACTGTGTGGATAAATACGGGTAGATTAGGATATTCAATGCGCGGGCGTCGCGGGTTATCCGTGCGGGAAGAGAGAAAGCGATTTAGACAAGACAGGAGCGCTTTGCAGCCAAAGCGGTTGTCAAGTCGGTCATCCTAGTCAAAGACAACATGACTGCCGCATGATGAACGAAAGCGAACGAGGGCAAATAAGGAATCTATTCGTCACAAAAATCATATTTTAAACATATTTTAGACATATTTTAAACTAAACAGTTCCTAATCCCGAGTTGTCAACGTCGTTGTTAAGGTCAATATTTACATGTTGTTCAACGTTATTTTAGCAAATATTCTACATACATATATACTGTTAAGATGATCATAAGTAAGCTTATCAAGAATATAAGTTAGAATTGGAACAGTTGTGATATATTTTGCAATAAAAACATGTAATCGTTATATACGTTGTTATTTATTGCTAAGTCATTAGCGACGCTTGCGTGCATGCATATATTAACGTACAACATATTTGTACACTAATCAGGCGGGCGGAAAGAGCGGGCTTTGCCGGCAAAAATTTACACAATATTTCAGTTTTTAAATTTATTTCTTCAAAACGTTTTACAAAATTTAGTACGGTCTACTTCTAAGAGCGTAACGTCTAGGTGTTTTTGTTATTTTTAAAGGGTTCTCATATTCTTGTCTATCTTCTGGGGATAACTTTGCAACGTCTTCATCCTTCATTGGAATATAATTATTTAGTTTAAACATATTTATTTGGCGCAATTGCCCCAGGAGCACACGTTGGCTCATCTAGGGGGCTCTTGCACAAAAATAAAGATTTACATATCAAAAAGTTCAAGCATGCAACACACAAATATAACACAATCACACAACATCAATAATTATAGCGTTTTGTATATATCACAATCAGATCATCGCTTTGAAACACATTAATTACCTACTGCAACAAGCCCTCAGAAACACAAACATCGAGAATTTTCTAGTACCTCAGACAGCTTGTTACAGTTAAACAGGTACTGACAATATTTTTTTACCTTATTTACGAGCTGAGAAACGAGATGTATCAATAATAAATCTTTGTACAGCAAAAAACAATCTATGGTTTACATTAAAAGCAACGTTATTGCATCTAGAAAGCAAAAAAGAAAGTTTCGCAGTTCTATTAGAATTGAGCCAATAATTCCCAAGACATTCTGCAGCCGTAGCAAGTAAAATCGAACGGTAAGTATCCCAAAGCGGGCAATGCAACAAATAATGTTCAGTAGTTTCACGATGGTATCCGCACGCACATGTAGGAGACGGTATGCAATTATGACGGAAAAGGTCATCATTTAAAGTACTATTACCTAACCGAAGTCTCGTGTGTAAAACTGAAGGATACCTAACACCAACTTCGAAAATCTTCGGGCATTTTTTTTTACAAAATAGACTCTTAATTGAAGTTTTAAAATTAGTAACAGACGGCAAATTTCTAATTGAATCAGATAAGGAATTCCAAGCAGATATAGCCGATGGAAAAAACGACTGTTGAAATCTAGATGAAGAACATAGAAAATTGCATATATCATCACTGTTGCGGAGTGGATAATTGGATATTTGAGATACCGGCTTTGGTAAAACAAAATAAAGATAGTCAGGAACCATTCTGTTCTTAATTTTGTATAAAACTGATAATTTGTGAATATATCGTCTGGTTTCTAATTTATCCCAAGAGAGTTCTTCTAGCAGAGCTACACGGTTAGTGCCTTTTATAGCACCAGTAACGAGGCGAGCTGCATCAAATTGAATTCTTTCGAGAGCATTACTGCATTCTACCCCACAACCATCCCATATAAAATCACCATATTCCATTAAAGGTCTAACTAAAGAAATATACATGCTATTTAATGTAGTTCTGTTCAGACGAAATCTCAAACCTTTTAACATATTGAATCTTTTGGCCGCTCTTTCGCTAATGACACATATGTGATTTTGCCAGGAGAGATCACTTGAAAGATTAATGCCTAAATGACAATGCAAATTAACGTCTGGTATAGTCGCTTGATTTAACAAAAGTCTAGGGTGATCAGGCTTGTTATTCTTAACAGAAAAAATCATCGA